ACTGAGTTGGTGGACCACTGGCAGTTCACCTAGGGAAGGTGGCCAACAACCCTGATTCCAAACCAACCAAGAGGAGGTGTACGAACCACACCCACACTTTTTCGATTGTGGCAATGGTCACCGGCTCGATTGGGCATCGAGGTGTATTGGGCACCTTGGACGTTTGACCCCGTAGAAAGAGCGTATGATTCAATGAACTGGACACCGGTCCCCGCTGCCTTGCGAGTTAGGCTTTGGATAGCCGAAGACTTCGGTTGCGGATTCCTCAGGCAAATTCACCTGCCTAGGCCCGGGCAAATCATGGAACTTTTTCTCTTTTTACAAAGATCATTGTACCATGATTTGTCTGGCACACGGTCTGGATTCAGACGTGTGAAAATAAATAAATAGGACTAAAGAATTTGGACGAGAACCCTAATGGTACTCCGACTCAGTTGGTGGACTCCATGGCAGTATCCGTTCATCGAACTCTACTGCATAAACAAAAATAATTCCTTACTGCGTCGGTCGTCGTACATTCCATTTCTGATTTAATGCGTAACATCTGGTCACATGAGCACATTCCGTTATCCTGGAACGAATCACTGATGGTTCCCATTTTCAAGCATCTCGCAACGACTGCGCAAACCACCATGGGACAAGTTTGATCCAAATTGTCCATTCGACATGCGCTTTGCACCTTCGAAGTGCAAGGTTATGCTGCAAGATTGGGTGTCAACGAGCCTCAATGTGAAACTAGACGGTCAGGAATCATCCAAAGTTGACTGCTTCCCGTACTCGGGTGATTGTATCACCAACGACGGTAGTGCACCAAAGGAGATAACCACCCACCTTTTCAAGGCACGAGCAGAGTACACAGGACTAAAACATCTGTGGCGGAGACGTGACATTTTACTGAAGTTGAAAAGTCGCGTAAACTGAGCCACTGTAAGATCGGTTCTGCCTTACGCTTGTCGGACCTTGAATTTGTGAGCAGAAGACATCTGTCGCTGGTTTTCGACAATCGATGCTTACGTAGTCTGGTATAGGTAGAACGGAGTATGGGTTAGTAACCTCGGAATAAGCCGTCGGGTGTTTGAGAATGCATCGAACGCGAATTCGCTAGCGCGTCGAATCCAGCTCAATAGGCTCCGTTGGATAGGACACGTTTTGCGTTTGTCCGACGGTCGCCTACCGCAGTGCGCCTTGTTTGCAGTGGTTCTTACAGGCTGGAGAAATCCACGTGGAGGCCAGCAGATGACGTGGAGGTGAGGCATAAAGAAATGCACAGAACGAGTAGATATCTCTCGTCTTCCGGGAGGGGGTCCAAAAGACTCCGTAACCGCATGGTTGGAGACACTGAAGGTCATAGCTGCGAACCGACAGCAATGGCGATCTTGCTGCCACTTCTCATCAAACCAGAATGCTTGAAATAGTATGTATGCACAGTTGAACTGTGTACTCTGTGTTGACCATACAGGTTCGCTTTCTTTTCCCGTCCCTAAAAATAGGCCCAATCCGCATCCTCCTTACAAACTCTCAGTTACTTCATATGCATTATGAGTTTGGTAGCGATCAGTGAAGTTCGCTTCAAGATATTACGTTGCACGATGATGATGACTTATTCGGCTCTTCAAAGGTCTAACCTACGAGTCAGTGGTGCGCAAATCAAATATAAAAATGCGAACGCTATAAAAACAAACAGGACTACAAGGTACATTTTTCGTTGTGGATCATTTAACTCGAAACAAACAACAGTTAAATAGTGCCGTAACATCGTTGGAAGAAAGTGAAGATACTCGGATTATATAACCAACCAAAGTTTTTATATTAATGGGGTTACTCGAATGTCTTGGCAGAGTGAGGTGGCAGCCATTGTTCATCTTGTCAAATAGCGATCTTAGTTTGATCTATAAGCACTAATCTTCCCAGAAGTATCCAATGCTGAGCTTGAAATTAGATGTATGCACACAACCAACATATCTCTAAGCAGCACGCAAATAAAAGTGAATACGGAATGACTCACATTTATATTAGCTGGTTTTAGCAGACTTAGGATCTTAAAAAATCCAGCCACCGCGGCAGCTCCACATTTGTCACGATGCATGGTGCACATGTTTCCTCCCACTTTGAGATCATAGCCACCAGTGTCGTACACAATGCCCTTCCCTATTAAGAACAAATTGTGCAACTGCGGGTCACCAGTTTTTCCATCCTTCGACCCACTGTATTCCAGGTGCATAATGGAGCCACGGTTTTTCGAACTGCCTGACAACAGGAAGGAAACAAAGAATAGGATTGGAGAAGAAAACCAAACCTACAAAACTAATCTAAATGACTGGCCAGACGCACTCTGCCAGACCATTCAAAACTTCACACTTTGGGGTGAGGTGATTAATGCAGTAATCCACCAAACGTAAGGGGGAAAAAAGGATGTAGTACGTTGAATAAAGAACGGATGNTTTTAGATTGATGGATGAATATTTAGTGATTTGACTTACTAATGTCAATATGCGAATTTATCTCTATTTCGCTCACTCGATTGCCTTACAAGAAAACCGTTCAAAAACATTTTGGTCTTTATGTACACCATGCCTGATCGGGTTCTTAAGTAAGTCTAAATATGCATAATGAAAAATTACAAACACCCTGTACTGACTGTTTTATTTTGTCACGTTTGTAACATGTGTTCAAACCTGATGTATCTTTTTGTTACGATTTCTATGCTAAGTTAGCTATATGTAGACGAACATTTATCTTCCGGTATAGTATATGAAGCAATTACTTGACTTGATTGATCTGACCGGAAACTCTGATACTCTGATACAATGTAATTATCAGTCATTAAATCCCCTTGCATTTGACTGACTTCCTGGGAGTTCCCTGATTACCCTCATATCAATAAGAACCACGGATGAGGACCAGAACCATTAGTTTTCAATGCACTAGAAGCCCACCTGACACAAACAGACATCATTCTACACCCCTTCCTGTCCTAGGTTCGCTTCGAATTTTTCAAGNCAAGGTCAAAAAGCAGCTATCAACACGCTCGGGAATCTTTTTTCAGTGGACATACTTGGACCATCAGGTTTGATCAAGCTTTATTTTCCTCATTTCAAGTAAATTACGTTTTTATCTATTCACATCTGCTTTGCTCTAATCAGACTTCTAATGATCAGTTGACTCTGTTGTATCCCGTTATGAAATGGTGGCGATAATCGTGACGATGGGCATATCTAACGAATACCAGGTAAAAAAGAAAAACGTGCAGTTTCGGGCAGTAACTAGTGATAACACTGTAGAATCAATGGCTTATTATTTCGGCTAAGGTGATATAAGGTTGTGAAGGTCGCTCATAATTTGAATTCTGTCAAGCGTGGTAGGAGTTGATCCACACATTTAAGAGAACCTCGCATTTAGAGAAGGTGAGGATAACTTTCATGAATAAACTGAAGAGATAGAACACGTAGCGAACAATACTTGTTTTCAGTGATTAATCATCTTTGGCTGATACATTATAACTTATATAACTCGGATAAAAAGAAGGGTAGTACAAAAGAAATAAACTTGAAAGTATAGATAGTTACTATTGTTTTCGGTATGGTATTTAGTCTGGGTGTGACGAAGATTGGGATAGGCGAGTGAAAATGGGGTGGGTGGAGGGGCCAGGAGAAACAAACATATGGGAATGTGGTACAAAATGGCATTGAAAATATTACAAGAGAACCAAGTGTGTAGTGCTAATGATCAGTAGGCTTTGGTCCAGTGTTTGAAGACGTCGACGTACTATCTAATTCGTTTCAATGAACCGATTGCAAAAATTCAAAAGCAGCGTTGTAGGAACTTACTGCCACGATCAACTACAGCTGCCAGAGGATAGCGTTTCTCATCAACTGGTTGTGCATCCATTAAAACACTACCGCCGGAGAGCTCCACTTTCAAGTAGGAAACAATGTTATTAGCACACATTCGTTCCGGATCCGATCCACCAATGTCTCGTGCGACACGCCGACCCTCCTCGATACACCAAGCAGTATGAACCTTACACAAGGAAAACCGAAAACATCAGTTATCTTCCAACCAAACGAAGCGATTGACCGAGGCAAAAAAATAGTGACAATTATCCCTGGTTTTTCGGACCAGTTAGCGAAAACACCAAGTGACTTTTCGTAGCACGAACTGAAACACTTCGGTTCCCTAAAATGAATTCTAAATAAAAGCTGGTTGAAGGAAATTTGAAATTTGTAGTCTTAAACCATGATGTTTTATCTAATGATAAACGGGAAGACTAGTACCCATGGAAGGGCGCGAGTTATTGGCATACATAATTTGTTGTTTAGCACATATAAGTTCTATTATTGAAGTGCAAGAAGTTTAGTAACCTCGGATAGGTGACCCCAATAGGAAAAGATCACAACTATCGGTGTGGATTCGTAGCTCAACCGGTAGAACATGCGCTGTACAAAAGCGTACATGGCGCTGCTGGTCAGTTCGAATAAAACCGAGGCTGATGAACTTTTCACAATTTAAAGATAAAATATGATTGATTTTGGATCATATCAGTGGCAGAAAAGGTGTAGTTCATGGACAACTTCTGATAAACCGTCAGCAGAGTTGAAGCTTCGTCAAATTAATGCGTAATATTGTTATGCATATGTTATTGCGTCATCTAACCTCACGAGTTGCAAGAAAATACTAGTGAAGCAGGAAGGTAA